GTTGATGGCTTGTGAGTGATTGCAGGGCAAACATCTTAATAAGTAAAACTCTCCTTTTTATAACTTGGGTGCGTGGATGGTTTTAATGACTGCTGATTGGTCGAAGTGATTTCAAACTCATCAGGATGATATTGAAATAAAAATAGCTAGGTGAAACAGTAAAAGATGTTTTATATCTTTTTCTGCCAAAGTTTTACTACCGAGTTATTATGCACATTTTATTTTGTATTTTCCACTGATCTGTGCTAATCGCATTATGCAAATCAATGTCTGCTTTAACTTTGCCTTTTTGCAGTGTGTGTCGATGACTTTGACGGTGCCACTGCCAGCCATCATCATAAGCATCTTTTGCCTAGCTTGATCACTGAACAACCACCTAATCACTACTAATCAGTAATCAATTTTTTCTCTTTTCTTTTCCTTATGCACCTCTTTAACTACCCACAGTGCAGCAGACTTTAACATCGAGTGGACTCAGGCGACGGTCCGAGAGGCGATGCTCACTCTGGCTCGTTCATTATCGCAGAGTAAGCTCAGCAGACTGTGCAACATTTCTCAGGTGAAGACTGGTATTTTCGGATTACTAAACTGAGCACATTTTTTAACGACTGTCTTTCTTTCTTTTTCAACCAATCAGCCAATCATCTCCAACATCATCAACAATAAAGAATTTAAGCTGAGCAGTGCCAAGTGCCGTGAATTTGGACAGTGGTACGTGCAGTTTATGATCAGATCTCAGTCTGCACCATCAGCCACCACTGAAAGTACTCAAACAACACAAGTAGAAGAAGAACACCCATCAAATAAGCCAGGGTCTTCCAGCCAAGCAGCAACAACACCACAATTACCAGTGGCAGCAGCTGCACCCCAGCCATCAACGAGCACCTCTGATGCCCGGCTGACCTTTCACCCAAAGATAGAGGTGCCTCGTCTCATTGAATGGTTCCAGCTGAATCGATCTCCCTCTGAACGGCAGCTGATCTACTACGCCGATCTACTCAATCGAAGTTCCCTTCGAGCAGAGCGAAACAAGGTGACGGTCAAGTCGCTGAAAAACTGGTGGAAAAACTACAAAGCGAAGCAGAGAAACGAGAGCAAGGCGGAAAAGAAGGCCAAAAAGAATGACTGACATTGATTAATCGAATTTTGTTTAATTACTCTATTTATAAAAAATAAAAAGTTTTGAATTGTTTTCAAGTTCGATATCTTTGTATTTTATCTTTAAAAGCCAACTTGCGTTGAGCTGATCTCTCTCAAACCCAACAAATGAATTTGAAATGGCTAACCACCACCAACAACAGGCAACCAACTACCAACTGACACCTCTCGCCCGTCAGTCTGCTCCTCATCAGCCCTCAAGCCAGGTGGCCACCCGTTTTCCCTCCGCTGGTTGCAACTCCGCTGTCACCCCTGGCCTACGTCGTCAGAGCGAGGTGTACTGCAATGTCCGGCACATGCTGTCGTACATTGACCAGGTGGAGAGTGAAAACTTCCGCCACTCCAAGGCCATCGACGACCAGTTTCAGGCGATCAAGCAGGAGCTGTACGCCGCCCTGAGGGGCGAGCAGACGATGCGCAGCAGCAGCAGCCTGGTGGCACTGCTCAGCGCCGACCACCGCCAGTGGGCGCCGCTCATTGAGCAGATGGAGCGTGATCTGCAGCGCAATCAGATGGCCTCCACCGGCATTGGCCGCAATCTGGCGCAGCTGAAGGCGGCCATTGAGGAGATGAAGATGAGGGGCAAAGGGGCGGCGGCCATTGCTCCCAAGGGGATCAATAACAATACTGCCACCACTGCCTCCTATCTCCTGGACACGCCCGACAGAGGAGACGGCGGTCAACAACTGCAATCGCAATCGCTGCAGTATCGAACTCCCCTGACTGACCCGATTGCGCCCTTTTCCTCGCTCAACGACAGCCCGCAGTCCATTCAGATGCCTCGCCGGGGAAGGGGACCGTCGTCCTCGGTGAACATCGATGCCGATGCTGGCCTCTTCAAAGTTCCCTTTCCACCGGGCAGGACCACCACCACAGCACTGAGAAACTCCAACTCGAGCTCCATCATCACGGAAAGCAGCACCGCTCCTCTGCTGAGCGTGAAAGCCGGCGACAGCGAGCGCCTGCGAAACGTCATCCTGGGCCTGCCCAAGGTGGATCCACTGGAGATGACCATGTCAGCGGAGCAGTATCGTCTGCACGTCGAGGAGAGCCTGCACTGGGTCGACCGCTGGCACGTCAATCAGAAGCGAAAGTAAAGATCGCACTGCAATCTGCGTGCTTCATATTTCAACACACACACACACACTTAGTGGAGCATCTTTTTTTGGCCAGTGCACACCTGTTCAGTAAACATTCGGCCAGCTGCTGGCAACTGTAAATGTGTACTGTGTTCAACTATTTTGTCTGTGTTCATGTGCTGACAGTGTTCGGAAGTGACAACTACCGGTGGCACAATGAGGAAACGCGCCTTTTCTTCTCCTCTGGCTTTTCTATTCTCAACCGCTTGTTTGCCCTTGCTGTTTCTCTGGGGCACAATTGATTCGCCTCGGTCAGCAATGGGTGACAGTCGGGATACAGCGTTAATTAGTGAACAATGGCAACCATAGAAGTGATAGCAATACCACTTCACGTGGTCGGCAGACAGGAAAGAAGGAAAGAGAGAATGATGGTGGCGGTAATAAGACAGTGTGTGGAAGTGGNAGTGAACAATGGCAACCATGGAAGTGATAGCAATACCACTTCACGTGGTCAACAGACAGGAAAGAAGGAAAGAGAGAATGATGGTGGCGGTAATAAGACAGTGTGTGGAAGTGCCGGTGACAAATGCCGATCGGTCACTGTTTACCGAAGGTGATTTATGTCGATGCACCAGCAGAAATGGTCATTAAAGTGCACTGTCCGCTTGAAGATGCAAATGTGACCGTGTTCAGTGAACAGCAGTGACCAGCAGCAGCNTAGCAATACCACTTCACGTGGTCAACAGACAGGAAAGAAGGAAAGAGAGAATGATGGTGGCGGTAATAAGACAGTGTGTGGAAGTGCCGGTGACAAATGCCGATCGGTCACTGTTTACCGAAGGTGATTTATGTCGATGCACCAGCAGAAATGGTCATTAAAGTGCACTGTCCGCTTGAAGATGCAAATGTGACCGTGTTCAGTGAACAGCAGTGACCAGAAGCAGCTGACTCTCACTTTCAACTTTGTCTTGGTATATAAGGTGGTTGAAGTTGTTAGAGCGGTCATTTAGACGACAGATATCAACGACGACACGCTACTGAGCATCAACTTTTTCAAAAATGAAGATTGCCAAATGGTCGACGAGGTTTCTTTTTAGCCTTTTCTTCTGCCTGCTTGGCTTCCTCGCCTCTGATGCAAAGATAGGCATCTGGCCAATCATGCCCTACTACGGTAAGGGCAAATTCATCGGCAGTGTTGGACACTTTGGTGGACTCGGCTACAAGGGCTACTATCGTCCATTTTTCTATCGGCCATATCTGCATAAGTACGCCTTCGGTTACGGATACCCCTTTACATACGTCTACTAAAAAATCTTAATTTACCAAACTGTTTACCTTTTCATGTTTTGTACATTTTCCTGAAANGCCTTTTCTTCTGCCTGCTTGGCTTCCTCGCCTCTGATGCAAAGATAGGCATCTGGCCAATCATGCCCTACTACGGTAAGGGCAAATTCATCGGCAGTGTTGGACACTTTGGTGGACTCGGCTACAAGGGCTACTATCGTCCATTTTTCTATCGGCCATATCTGCATAAGTACGCCTTCGGTTACGGATACCCCTTTACATACGTCTACTAAAAAATCTTAATTTACCAAACTGTTTACCTTTTCATGTTTTGTACATTTTCCTGACACTTGCACATAATTATTATTTGACAAAATATGCTCTACTTTGATTAATAAACTGGCAGCTTCTGTCAATCGACCTTCAATTTTGCTGTTCTTATCATATACTCTACATACTCTCAAAAAACAAAAGAAAGTACTTACCACTGCGGAAGATCTGCTCGACTTCCATTGGCACCGTCAAACCCTTTGTCTGTGGTGTATCCTTTGTTGATAAGAAGTGCACCATTTCTTCCGATTAAAACGTATTTGTCGGTCAGGGACTTTTCCGCGTCGGTTAAACTTTTCCATCATTTTGCTGTTTAGACAGAGTATATAAAGGAGTGAGAGTACGTCTGGTAAAAGTATCAACAACTTCCAGTTAACTTTGATCAAGTAACACTCACCCTCACAAAAATGAATTCCACTCTTATTCTAGCTCTGGCCCTCGTCCTACTCGTTGGCGCCTTTACCGTGGTCAGCGGACAGTTTGTTGGTCGTGGTGGCTCGTACAACAGAGGTGGCTCTTATGGACGAGGGGGCGGTGGTCGAGGAATTGGCGGAGGTCGACTTGGAGGCGGTTACGGCGGAGGTCGTGGAGGACCTCGACTAGGCGGAGGTTATATTGGTCGTGGTGGCAGAAACTACGGATAAGCGACTGAAGCAACAAAGAAGTCAGATCAATGCAATGTTTTGAACTTTATGGCCAAAAATAAAAAAGTGTTTTGCAATATTTTTGTGAACAAAAACGCAAATGTGAACAACTTTGAAAGATTTTCCCTTTTGTTGTTTTTAAAAAAGTTTGTACCGTTTGATTTTAAGCCACTAGAGGTCGCCTGCGTGTGCGAATGGGAATTTTTTTTCAACGACAATCAAATTCAGTGATCATGTTTTCTGGTATTGTCGTTTTGTGATGATTGCCAAAAGGTAAGTTCAACGTTATTTGATTATAAAGTGTAAAGTATTTTTATTTTATCAATTACAAACAGTCATAACGAGTATCTTACAAATATATAAAAAATAATGCAAAAAATGAGGCAAAGATGATATGACATCGGTGGTTTTGGTAACAAATGAAAGGGATGACAAGTGGGAGGGGAACAAAGTGGGAAAAAGTCCAAATCACAGACACGCACAAATGGAAGGAAGCATCTTTTGGTTAATTCTCCAGTAAGTCCGGTGTATCGATCCAAGGGTAGTCAGTGGGGCAAACCTGACACGTTTTAAAGTACCTCGAGCCGACGTTGTTTTTCTTGCGAAACTTCACTAGACAAATGTTTGGCCTGAGGCACTCAAGCACCTTCTTCGGTGCTGATGAAACCAACTGTGGACACTGCCACGGCTCGAAGCGGTCAATGTGTGCCAGCTTTGTCGGCTGGCGCATCCACTGCAGCGCCTGCTGGTTGGTTACAAAGTAGACGTCCCCTAGCTGGAGAACCTCGTCGATGAAGCGCAAAAAGCCCGCCTTGTGGTGAGGCGTGGTGAACCAGGCGGAGTGGTAGGCCATTGGAAATGGCGCTCGGTTGCTCTCGTAGTGCCGCTTAAAGTTGCTCATAATCAGCTCGTAGACGGCCTGCTCGTCTGGCGGCGAGTTGCAGCTGTTGCCCATTGTACAGCGGCCACCGCCGGGCAGATTTTGCCACATCACCAGACCAATCTCCCACAAACCTGACATAAACAAAATACAAATCATCAGTTTTGCAACTTCACTACGTTTTCCACCCCTCTCACCTGGATAGCTTCTCGTCGGACAAGGCGATATCATGCAGTCGTGCTGCATGTCAAAGGCAAAGTCCAGCGTGTACGGCCAGAAGGGCGGCGAATTGTCAAAGATGGACACTGAGCTGTCGTAGCTAAAGTTGCCGTCCATCAGCATCTGAAACTGCTTGTCGCCGCCAATCTGCAGAAAAGCGGCTCGTGTGCCCCTGATGTCCTCTCGAGGTATATTCGCGTACCGGTGCAGAATTTCCCGCTGGCCAACATGCTCCCGTCGCCAGTCTTCAGTGGAAAACTTTTCCCCAAATCGATGCCTAAGAAGAAGGCAAAAGTGTTAACCAAAAACTGTGAAGGAAGGTGTGCACATTTGTTCATTACGTGATGGAGTGCGAGGCCACCTCGTGTCCTCGGGCGTAGAGCGTCTGCACTTTGCCGTAGTCCGTCCACTCGTGTGAGACAAAGAAGACTGCCCTTATGGGACAGCCATTGGGATTAGTGCGCCGCCGGCCGCTTGCGCTCATCTCCTCAAAGATCTCTTCGTACAGGGGAAAGTTCACATCGTTGACGGCGTCGTCAAAGGTGAGCAGTATCATCTGCGGTGTCTCCGAACGCTTGAA